GTTCACAATAGCAAAGACCTGGAACCAACCCAAATGCCCATCAATGATAGACTGGACAGGGAAAATGTGGCACATATACACCATGGAACATTATGCAGCCATCAAAAATGATGAGTTTGTGTCCTTTGTAGGGACATGGATGAACCTGGAAACCATCATTCTCAGCAAACTGACAGAAGAGCAGAAGATCAAACCCTGCATGTTCTCACTCATAGGCAGGTGTTGAACAATGAGAACATATGGACAACAGGGAGGGGAGCACTACACACTGGGGTCAGTAGAGGGGAAATAGGGGAGGGACGGTGAGGGGTGGGGAGCTGGGGAGAGATAGCAAGGGGAGAGATGCCAGATGTAGGTGATGGGGAGGAAGGCAGCAAATCACATTGCCACTTGTGTACCTATGCAACAATCTTGCATGTTCTTCACATGTACCCCCAAACCTAAAATGCAATAAAATAAATAAATAGGAAAAAAAGCAAGACTCTGTCAAAAAAAAATAAATAAATAAATTTGACTTAGCTGCTATCTTGACATTTTTAAATGAAATATTTCACACAAACTTTGGATTCCCATTTTCCCTCGGCAAAGCCAGACTCACAGTCTTCGAAGATGGCAATTGAATAGAACTGAATAGCAGCTGCCCACTTTAGACAGGGCACGTCCTCTGCAATTTGGCACAGTCCCTACCAAGCCACTTTACTCACTTATCTGCCAGCCCCCTGCAGACATCTGGGTTTGTGACTGCTGGAGTAAAGAATCTTGCAGTTCCATGAGCTAAGCTAGAGAAGCAGCAGTCCCCTCAAAGAACTCTCATTTAATACAATTTACATCTCTCTGGCTGTGCTACTTTTCATTTTTGTATCTCCCACAGCACAGTGACTTTCACAGAATAGGTGTCATATATTTTAGTTGAACAAATGAATAAATTAAAGACAGCTGCTCATGTTCAGTAAAACCTCTCCTCCCTTGTTTTAAGCACAATACTTCTTTTAATGAAGCCCAAGGTCATATTAGCTCTTTTGGCAATATTCAGCTAAAGCCCACCTCCTTTCTGCTACCCTAAAAATAAAACACTGAAATCACCTCTTAAAATCTATGCTACAAACCCAGGAACACTCTTCAAGCAGCAGAAGAGGATGTTTCCAGTTAAGTGATTTTAGCAGATTTCTCCAGCCTGGTTTAGGAGATGATCCCAACAACCCGATGCTGAACCATCACTCAGAACCAGCAGTATCTTTTGCCATAAGAGCTGATTCAGTCATTCAGAGGACAGACCTAATGTGAAGACCAGCAGAGCGATCACACAACAACATATGCGAAGGATGCTGGATGAACATTTGGCTTAAAGTCAATCACAGAAACCCCTTGGTGTGAAAGAGATGGAGGGAGGGAGGAAAAGGAGAGAAGAGGAATTAACATGGGAAGAGTCAAGCTTACTGCTAACGAGTGACATTTCTCCGCTAGGTACTTTTAAAGAAAGACCTTCAGAGTTTCCCAAATGAGCAGACCGACTAACCCATTATGTTAACAGAAAATTTGAAATTACAAAGAAGTTTATCTCCATTTGGCTAATGTGGGGTTGCATGTGGCTGCTGGTTGCTGCTTATAAACTCCAGGCCCCACAATCAGCTTTGACATTTCAACCATGTTTTCTCCGGCTCATGGGCACAGAAGGATTCCTGCCTATTTCGCATGGCAAGGTATACATCTGTCCTGTCTCTACCACCTTCCACTGCCCTTGCATTTGCACATGGCAAGGAAGCCACACAGATAAAGGGATTAAAATGCAATAATTTAGGTAGGATAAAGGCTTCAGGAGGATATGTTGTGAGCTGGCTCCTCTTACATACATATAACATTAACATTCATGGTGGTAGACTCACAGTATAAAATGCAGATCAAAAGCTAAATATTTGCTGCATATTTTATTCTAAGGGCATGACAAACCAATCTCAGCAATTTGTGTTCCCAAAATTTGACTACACTAATTTCTAGAAGCTTTTAGCAGATAGCCAATATATGACAAGATAACACTTGCACTTGGGGAGTTTACAATTTTGTTAGTAACTTGGAACACACCCAATTGAAACATTTAAATAGAATTACCAGGGCAATACATGAAGCATAAATGAAGAAAGGCTAATGCAGACAAGCATGTGTATATGAAACTTTTTATCTCTAAGCCAATGTGGCATGTTTTCTTATTCCAAAGAAACTTAAAACATGAAGGCACTCTCTCTCTGTGCAAGGCACCTGTGCACCTATTATCTCATGTAAACTGTTTGAATGCTCAGAAGCTGGGTATTTCTGCTTGTATATATGACAGAGCTATAGTTCAAAGAGGTAATCGATTTGCCAAGAGTCATCACAATAGCAAGAACTAGAGCCAGGGTCTGAGCTGCTCTCCGAAATTTCACTCCAGACCTCTCTGTGCTACATCACCACTGCATCCCAGATCAAAGCTTTTCATTTGAACGCGGGGAATTAAATTCCGCAAAGGTAGAGAGGCTGTCCAACAGGGGATGTAAAACCCGTTAACATGACCAATTTATTCCAATTTCGCAGAATCTCCCTGACTTTAGCATGAAAATACCACATCCTGGGAAAGTGTTCAATTCTGGTTTTAAAAAGAACTGTTTTACATCCTAGACAACCTTTCAGTCCCAGGCAAACCGGGATGGTTACTCATGCTATCTGTGGTTTCCCAACGTACATGGGGCAGAGTCAACCCTAATATCTCTTTTTTAACATCATTCATCGTGTCCCCACTTCAGTCCCCATATGATCCTCTCAGGCCCTATTAAAGCTCAGAGCCAAACAAAAAACAACAACAACAACAACCAAAACAGTGCTTAGAACACAGTAGAAACTCAACAAATATTTGCTGAATTAGTGTCATGTTTGACTAGTCTCCGGTTCATAGGCCATCGTGTTTACATGTAGCTGATGTTTGTCGATGTCTACCGAGTCAAATATAGATGAAAGCAGTCCATAATTGATATGGTTTCGCTGTGCCCCCACCCAAATCTCAATTTGAATTGTAACTCCCACAATTCCTACATGTTATGAGAGGAACCCGGTGGGAGGCGATTATATTCTGGGGGCGGGTCTTCCCCCTGTTCTCATGATAGTGAGTTAGTCTCACAAGATCTGATGGTTTTAAAAACAAGAGTTTCCCTGCACAAGCTCTCTTTTTGCCTGCCACTATTCACATCAGATGTGACTTGCTCCTCTTTGCCTTCTGTGATGATTGTGAGGACTCCCCAGCCACATGGAACTGTGAGTCCAGTTAAACCTCTTGCTTTTGTAAATTGCCCAGTCTCTGGTATGTCTTTATCAGCAGCTTGAAAACGGACTACTACTGTACAGTAATAAACAACAAGGGCAATCTTGGAGTTAAGGGAGTCTCTGGGGGAGCCTCTGTCCCTATGTCTTAGTGATGATAGAGGACTTGTGGTTGATGGCACATTTATGAATATCACATCTCTTGCTTTTCCTCTCCCCAGCAGCAGGCTCCCCAAGTCACTGCTCAACTGCTAACACCATTTAGTCCCCATTTGGGCCCCCAAAGGTCCAAAGTCTAGACAAAACATCTATTGTCTCAAGCAATGTGCTAATAATTTAACATACATGGTCCCATTTAATTCTTGCAACGTGATGCAGTTACTATTATTATTCCCATCTAATGAATTCGTTAACTAAGGCTTCCAAAAGTCAAGGGAATAAATCCAGAGCCCAAGCTCTTGGGCACAATGACATAGTGTATCCCAAGTTATCATACAGTGATGGACATGTTATACCTAATAAGGCGCCGCCTCATCGATATCTGATGTCTTCGGGGTACTTTGATAACAGTTATTTTCTGATAATTGAGAGACTTTAAAGAGCCAAAAGGTTATACAAACAGACCTCTGTGTAATTTAAGGTAGCTTAAGCTTGCCCATTGCTTCTTTTGACTTTTGGAGCTCTGTGCTGGGGCTTGTAAATTTGAACTTAAACACTGCAGGCAGTTTTCCTATCTACGAGTACTCTCAACTTAAAAATGCTTCTCTTGAAAGGCCCCAAATCTGCTCTTCTGAAAAGAAATCCCATAGAAGACCTTTGTCAGAGGTTTCTTTTTTTTCTCCCTTACACTCCCTTTTGTTTTATGTGAATTGGGTAATCTTATACTGATACCTGATTGAAGAAATCAACTAAAATGTAAATATAGACAAAGCCATACTCCTTGGGTATAATATTCTTACAGGAAAGTACTTGTTTAAACACTTCTACTTTAATTTAACCTTGGAATACATAGAATCAAGGAATTTTAGCAGCGGAGAGAATCTTAAAAATAATCTAGTTTGGTCATTATCTGACTTGATCTGCAAAGCTTTGGGGACCTGTTCAGTGCATGACCAGTCAGCAAGGCACCATCATCCCCAAGGAACAGTGACAAGAGAAACTGAATAGGGGCTCCTGCTCTGGCCATCTTAATGAGTGCAGATGACAGGGACAGGCCCACCCACACCCAGTCCTGGCTTCTAGCGGGCTTCCTGTTCTGCACTGGGCCTGTGTTTAGTCAAGCAGCACAGAGGCACAGTGAGCTGCATAAAGTGACAGCTACGGCTAGAGGCTTAGATCTTCTGGCAAGGACAATGGCAGTATCATTTGGGAGAGGCGTGCAGAGTTTCTGACCAGACTAGACCATAGAGTGATAGGTATTGATTGATGGGCAAGAATGACAACATTGATTCTACCAGAATAGGCACATGGGATGTCAGGGTGTTTTCTCTGGGGGCTTTTTCCTGGCTGGGCAACATTCATGTTCTCTAGCCCTTCCAGACACCCTGCAGACTAACTCACACCTTTTAGTAAATATCTTCCTGCCCAATTAGCTAGAGTAGATTTAGTTGTTGTGACCCCCCTGGATAAATTTGCTATTATGTCTTGATATGGTTCTTTCTTTCTTTCTTTCTTTCTTTCTTTCTTTCTTTCTTTTCTTTCTTTCTTTCTTTCTTTTTCTTTCTTTTTTTTTTTTTTTTTTTTTTTTTTTTT